CCCCCCGTAACAGTCGCTACCTTGAAATCACAATACCCTACATTAAAGATACCATAACTAAGTTACGTTATAATTAAATTGTTTTTTCTTAGTTTGAGAGAAGAAATGGTAGTCAATGTATCTTAGCTTTTCATCCACATTTTGTGATAGGGAGTATCCTTTTTTTAGCCTGCCATTGACCTTCTTGGAGGGAAAGTTATGTTACTGGACAGACATAATTTGCGTTTTTAGGGGGGAAGGAGGCGCGACGCAATGAGCGACACCTCACGGGGATTATTCCTAACCGTCACCCCGCTCTGTCCTCACGTGTCGACAGATGTGAATAAAAAGTTTCATCCGTCCCACCTTTTAGTCCCACTATCACGAATAAGGTGACAGATGGAACCGTTAAGTAATAAAAAAGTTCCAACCATCCCTTCGTCGTAAAAGGTGGGACGGATGAAACTTTTTATTTTCATCTGTCGCCACGTGGGGACAGAGCTGGGTGACGGTTGGGAATAATCACCGACGGTTAGCTCGCACGCGTGGAGTTACGTCGGCCTTCGTCGACCGCGTCCTTAACTATGAACGCCGCGCCGCGCCGTCCCGTTTCCGATTTAGATTTTACATTTAGTTTATAAAATTAATGTAGGTGACGTTGAATACTCCTTTTTAACTTTTTTTAAATATGGTAAACAGCTAACTACGTCAACATATATAAACAAGACAAATTGTTCGACACTTATTACTATTTTATTGTTTAGTATTAGTTATTAGTATATAACCGTTATAGGAGATATGCATGCAAATTTTACTTCTCTAATTTTCATTTCATAATAAAAAAATCGAGTGTCGTTGGAAATAAAATAAAAATGGGTAATCATATCTTACTAAAAGCTTTAACTCATGATAGAAAATCACGATTAATCACGCTTATAAAATATCGAGTAACATTTAACTATATACAGGTGTCCTCAGAAAGTAGTATCAAGCAGAGAGCCAGAGATAGAGCACCACTTTAAGTACCCTAATCACTCAAAGGGGTTTCGTGAAGTTTGAAAAAAAAACCTTGAAGAAGTCTTACAGTTATTTTTTAAATTTTAAAGTTGTTACGGTCAAACATTTTCAAATATTCACAATAAAAAAAAATAAAAAAAAAAATCGCGGGACTTACATGGGGGTGATTCGGGTACGTAAAGGATTGGTCCATCTCGAGATCTCCGCTTGACATTACTTTGTGGGACATCCTGTATAATATATTACACTAATAGAACTGTCCCTTGAATTGCGTTGTCTAAAAGACCCGCACAGACATACGCAACATTTTTTATACAAATACAGAACATATAAGAGACAACAAAAATGACTCCAACAAAAGACAAAAGAAAACCATAGACTCAAAAGATATTTTTCTATCTCCAGGCGGCGGACGCGCAAAAAAATTCCGACTGCAATCTCAAGATTATAAGAAAGATGGCGACCCTTACCTCTGCGGTCATTGTAATAAACGTTATAAATTTATATCCCTACGTAGACATGTTAAAACTAAACACTATGAAATAATACTTACTTACAAATGTCAGTTATGCAATTCACAATTTAAAACAATACCACAATATACACTACATAAACTAGAAGTACATAACATCGATGATAGACATGAATGCAAAGCATGTAATAAAATGTTTAACTCGACTACACAGTTAAATAAACATAAGAAAATTTTTCATATGTTAGGTGAGAAACAAAAATGTGATGTTTGTAATTATGAATGCTACACTGTGGACAGAATGACTCGTCATAAATTAACACATAAAAAGATAAAAAATCACCACTGTAGTTTTTGCAAGAAATCATTCGCAAGGAGAAGTCATTTAAATTCACACGAAGCGATACATACTGGTGAAAAATCTAAAATATGCAAGGAATGTGGACAAGCATTTGTTCAAAAAGCGAGTCTGAACTATCATATGATGAAATATCATCCAAATGTTAACTTTTGATTATGTACAATCGGGTAATCTGTTGGTGTTCCACTACCAAACAAACACAAACAAACCGTAGCTTGTATTGCCTATCTTAATATCACGTATGTGCTGCTCTTCCGTCCATATCAGTCATATCTGAATCCACTTCCTTCTGAAGCATAACATCTTTCACACAATCCATCCATATTTTCTTCTGTCTGCCTCTACCTTTGTAGCCATCCACATTTAATCTTAACACTTTCTGATTTATATCCCAATCGTCTTCGCATAACATCTCCATAGCATGCTAACCTTTTGCTTCTCAATTTCTCCACCACTGGCGGTACTTTCAAACTTCCTCTAATATACACATTCTTAACTTTATCTATTCTTGTCACTTACATCCATCTTAACATACGCATCTCAGCCGCATCTCCTTTCATTCGCAACTTTGCTGACCAAACATTCAGATCCATACAATACGCGGTCTTATGATGGACTTGCAGATCTGTCCTATAAGCTTCCAACGCATCAAAGCATTCAACCTGCATTTATTAGGTTTTTCACGTCTCAGTCAACGCCACCGTCGAATTGGACACTTACTAATATTTTATTGTTTAGTACTATTAGTACATAAACATTACGTGACCCGCAAAGTATTCAACATCGCTTTAGTTTGTAAAAACGATATTGATTAGTTTGATTTGACGCATATAAAATATCGAATAAAATGTAACTATAATGTATCCCACTAATAGAACTCTCCCTTGGATTCCGTTATCTAAAAGTCCCGTAGTGATATTAGATAAGCAAACAAAAATCATAGACGCAAAGTTCCATAGACTCAAAAGATATTTTTCTATCTCCAGACGGCGGAAGCGCGCCAAAATTCCGACTGCAATCTGAAGATTATAAGAAAGATGGCGACGCTTACCTCTGCGGGCATTGCAATAAACGTTACAAATTGACTTCCCTGCGTAAACATGTTAAATCTAAACACTATAAAATACCGGATTACAATTGTCGGTTATGTAATTCACAATTTATGACAATAGCGCAATATACAGTACATAAACTAGAAGTACATAACATCGATGACAGACACAAATGTAAAGCATGTAACAGCGTGTTTAATACAAGAGTACAGTTAAATAAACATAAAAAAGCTTTCCATATGTTAGGTGAGAAACGAAAATGTGATTTATGTGACTACGAATCATTCAGTATTGAAAGTTTGTACAAACATAAATATAAACATAAAACAGTAAAAGACCATCATTGTAGTTTTTGCAGGAAATCATTCGTAAGGAAAACTAATTTAAATTTACACGAAAGGATACATACGGGTGATAGACGTAATATTTGCAAGGAATGTGGACAAGCGTTTGTTCAAAAAGCGAGTCTGAACTATCATATGATGAAATATCATCCAAGTGTCAACTTTTAATTATATCATCACCAGCTCATTATATGTCCCCACCGAGAGGCTTGGAGCCTACCCTAAAGGTGACTAGGCCATAGACAACCACGCTGGCCCAATGCTGGTTGGTTGACTTCACACATATCTTTAAATTTCTTCGCCGATATGTGCAGGCATCACGATGTTTTCCTTCACCGTAAGAATGTCGGATAAATTATGTACATTCGGAAAAATCGAAAATCACATTGGTACGGCGGGATTCGAACCCAACACCTGTAGATTACAAGTCAAGTGCTTAAACCACTGAGCCACCGACACTATTTTAGTTATATACAATCAGGATATCTTGGTGTTTTACTTTTAACACTTATCAACGAAGTTTTTTATAGCAAAAAAATAATGTTACCAACACTTAAAAATAAAATCTCACAATTTTTTCGTAAATGGAACACCTCGGATTTTCCCGATTGTACATTGATTTATATTAGCGGGCGCACACTTTTGACTAAATATCGCACTGTTGTATGATTGTCGATTGTTTCGCAGCCAAAGTACAACTAACAATCGAGTAATGTGCACCATAAGCTCATTATTATTATATATATTATTATATATTTCTTTAATGTATGTAAATAAAAAAAATAAGAAAAAAACCAATGCTCACTACTTAAATCAAACCACGACTAAACAGTTGTGCGATAGTTTAGTCAAATGTTGACGTCTGTAATAAAAATCGATATATTATCGATTTCTGTCTGTTTTATTTAATCGTTTCGATGGTTGCATGAGTTAAAAAAATTTTATCTCTTGTAGCAATACATTAATTTCAACATATTTAAAAAATATATAGAAGAGGCATGTACACTTGAAACATTTTTGATTTTTTGAGACTCGTAATCTCGCTAACGCCATCTATTGATGAATCCTTAGAACCATATGTCATTATAATAAATTGTATTCAAATGTTTATATTACATTTTGTAACACTGTTTGGTTTACAAAAGGTGTCACTAAATTTAACAACTGATATAGTACCTTTCAGAGAAAGTACTGGTGAAAAATTTTGTTACACCTCGTCTGTATTTTTTTAATATTTTTTTTAATTTCAATACTCTGTTAAAGGAAATTTCTTTTATAAATAATATATATTTCGTATTATTTCTTTTTCTAAAATATTATTTTTACTTTTGTTAGCCTTTGTCGCTTCTATTTCTCAGTTGTAACAAATTTTGCCTAAAAATAATTCAACCAGGAATATAAAAATCACGATATGTTTCTGAATATGGTAAAATTATTTTGTACATTAAAAAGTCAGTATTTTTATATTCTTGGTTAGTTTGTAATTTGTTAATTTTAAGAATTTCAACTTGAAAAGAGAATTTATGTGAAAAAATTTAAAAACCTTTTTTTTTTAATTCAACGTTTGTACCAACTCAAATTTTGTATAATTGTGAATAAAATATAATTATTAAAACAAACAAAATTTATTTATTTTTCCATTCAAATGTTGCAACTTATTGGTTCATGTGCTTTTACAGACTATGCTCTAAATATATGACAAATTTCGTCGAGATCCGTTCAGCAGTTTAGGCTACAAACTAACAAACATCCGTCTAAACTTTCGCATTTATAATATTAGTAAGATTCTTCATTTATTTTACAATATCACTGGACTCTGTCTTCATAATTCATATATCAGTTAAAGCGTTAACAGCCTAATGGTTTGGGGTACGGACTACCGATCTTGCAGTCGAGGGTTTCAATTCCGCCATTCGACTATTGTGAACCATATCCTAGCACAAGCCTAGAGATTAGTTGGCATGGTTAAAGGAAATATTAGTAGATCAAATCGTACCTTTTATTGGCTGGCTGACTTTTATGTAAGGTGGCCCCACTATTTTTATATCATAAGGTGATAAAGTAACTTTCCCCTTGAGGGTCCGCCTCATGAAATACACTTCCCTTTTAATTATTTTTATATCATCCCATCTCACCTTATCTCGTCCCATCTTATCTCATCTCATCCCGTCTCATCTAATCCCATCTCATCTCATCTCATCCCGTCTCATCATATCCCATTCCATCTTTTTTTATAAGTATCTAAGTACAATTTTCTGTTTTAGATGATGATGTATTGTCGTTGATAAATTTTACTATCATACGTAACGATGATGGCATAGTTTTTCACAATTGCAACATTTGCAAGAAGAATTATTTGACCAGAGGTGCGTTTACGAAACATTACAGAAAAATACACCTAGAGATTCGTGTACCTCCTCGTTCGTGTCACTTGTGTAGTGAAAAAGTATCAAAGCATACGAAAGCCTTACATTTAGAAGAGAAGCATGGCATACCAGCACCCACTTGTAATATTTGTGAGAGAAAATTTTCTTTCCCACACGAAGTTTTATGCCACAAAAGACTTCAACATACGGGCGACAAGAAATACCGATGTGATGAATGCGGGCAATTATATGCATCCAAAATTATATTGAAAAATCACCTATTATTGCATTCTGCCGGCAAAAATTTTATTTGCCAGTTCTGTAATAAGACATTGAGAACTGAGATAGGCCTACGTCTGCATATTAGGGTACATTTAAATGTTAGGCCACATATTTGTGATGTATGTAATAAATCGTTCACACAAGAAGGAAGTCTGAGACATCACATAAAGATGAAGCATTCTATATAAAACTAGCTGTTCCCGAGTGGCTTTACCCTCATGAAATTGTAAAAAACTTTAGTTTATTGCTTAGTTAGAAAATGGATTTGGCGGTGGAGGAGACACATAAGAAGGGGGTATCCCCTTTATCCGTCTCCTCTTCCGTCGATAAAGGGTAGGCAACGCATCTACAATTGCTGATGTTGCTTCGCCAATTACTGAATTATAAATAAAATTGTTCAACAAGTTACTTTATCTATACCTATAAAAAATTTACATTACACAAGGATATGCAGTCGGCGCGCTGAACCTACAGGAGTATGATGAGTTAAGGGAGATGATGACGAGGATATCTAACGGCAGGTTTATGGCCTCTCTGTCAAATTTAATAAAGTCTCAAAATCCTTTCGTACTGTAAGATATTTCAATCAAATCAAAATCGATATAAAATCGATTAGCGTAATAAATATGATCATCCTCATCTGTCTTAGAATTGTCGATGGTAATTTTTTTGGATCTGTGCCTGGATTTAAACTATTGTCTATGATTGTTTTGTGGATATTGAAATGTCACTTATATTATGATTTTAATTGTAATATAAATTGAATATTAAAAGCTATAAATTAGATTAAAATGGCAGTAACGATCAATACTAAGAATAAAAAAGGACCGATTATCGATCCAGCATTATGTCGATGTTGTCGTTCAATAAAAAAATGCCGAATCCTGTCGGCGGAATACGAATGGATGGGAAATAAAGAAGTGTATTCAGATATGCTTATGGATTGCTTTGGATTACTTGTGAGTTATTTTTTTTACTTTCAGTTATCACCAGCCTGCTATTTTCTCGTTTTTCCTACCAGTATGTACTCATATCAGCTGTCATATAATTCACTCCAATACGTATCTTTCACACATTCCATACTTTATCTTGTATAGTCTTGTATTAGTCTTGGGCTTAATCGGACATCCGCAAGTGCGCACCGTACTAGTACAATTTGGAAAACGCACTGTACACACTTTTAGTACCTTTAGTACTTCAGATTTGTGAGAACACAATAACATGAATAGAATATAACAAGGGTTATAGATTACTACACATCAAAATTTAAGCAGTGTCAAACATATGTTATTAGCGAAAATAAATTTAAGTTATAAATTACTTTATCCACTTTTGATTCTTATTACCAAAGGTGGATGCTTCAATTAAATCAAATAACGAAAAAGGGAACACCGCTATCATGTAGTACTGTACTAAAGGTACTAAATGTCCGATTAACAGAAGCCGTTTGGTAACGTTACTTTTAGTACAGTGCTGAGTAACATTATTTTTTAGTACATCGTACGTGTACTACCCAAGACTAACATGTATGTATTTTCAGCTGTCACACCTAGATGGTGATAATAAGGAGATCGGAATCTGTGCAACCTGTGTGTGCAGGTTACGTGAAGCATGTGCCTTTAGGCGGCAAGTTCTGCAGTCAGAAGAGGTGTTTATGAAGGCCAAGCTTGAGGGAAATAAAGATGGTGAGAAACAGTTATTTCAAACAGTACATCTATACTTATATACTAATATAATACAGCATAAACACTCACTACTTTGTGGTCTTGGATGTCAGCAATCACAGCATGTTTTTGAATAATTCTTTCTTTAATTAAATGCCCTTCCTTACTTAAAACACACTTTGAGTCATACAGTTTCACACTATTAAACTTAGGGAGTAAATAAATTGGAAAAAAACCTTCATGTGGGAAGAGGACAATAAACTACAAGCTTCCAACATTAAGGTAGCGAGGTTATTATGGCAATGGTAATTGTAATATTTGCAATTCAGAATTGGACAAACATAAACAATAAAATAATGTATAGTTACTTAAATATAATGGTTTGAAAATGTCTAGCCCATAGACTGAGTAAGTGTAGGGCTTTTTAAAGAAATGTATTATTCAAAAATATGCTGTGATTTCTGACATCTTACATAACAAACTGTTTTTTTTATTATTGTTGACTAGCTTTCTCCCGTAAATCCATTAACATAAAATTTAAAAAGACAAAAGTAAGTAGCCTATGTGTTCTTCCAGACTACCTACACCTATGCCATCATCAAGATCTGTTCAGCAGTTTAGGATAAAAACTCTAAAATTCATCTAAACATTTACATTCATATTAGTAAGATGTTATTTTTAGATTCACAATACCCAATGGAGTTTAAAACCGAACCATTAGAAATAATGGAGGCTGATAGTCAAATGGATGAGGCAGAGGATGTTGACCAAGGTATGAATAATTTTATTTATGTTAGTTAATACATTCAGTGCAGGAAGTCAGTGGTAGAGCCCGCTTTATCATCTTGACACGAATGGGCTGGCTCGCTTGGTATAATACCACAACCACACAGAAAACAGGCGTGAAGTGGAAGTAATTTCGCGTGCAGTCTGATGAGTGTGGTGCCATAGGCCTAATTTTAGCTCCTTTCCCTTTCCACCCTTAAGAGGAAAGGATGGGGAAGAAAAGTGCAAAGACGCATAGAAAGCTGAAATGTCCTCTTTATGTGCGTCTTCTCCGTCAATGAAGGGTAGACAATGCATCTGCAATTGCGGATGTCTATAAGCAGCGGTTGCTTTCCATTTCAGTGGATTCAGGTGGCATCAGGCAGTGGAGTCAGGTGGATTCAGGTGTTATTTATAGTAATAAATATTAACAATTTCAGATGAAAAACCATTAGTAAATCTAATCAAGGCGAAGAAAGCGACCGTTACAGTTGCAAGACGCAGATCTGTTCGTACAACACATGTAAAGTCTGATACAATGAAAAGTGAGGTTAACAGTTTAAGCAGAAAGAGAGTTAATATGGATGATTTACAAGATGATACAGGTATTGACACCACTTTTAGATAATACTAGCTGTTTTATTGCGGCTTTGTCCACATAAACCATGAAAACCTTATTTTATTGTTTACATTTGTAAAATTTTCAATTGCAAAAATTAAATACACAAATGATATCGGAGGCCTTTTACATTGGGTAATAATTACCGTTACTATGGCAACCTTGCTTTCATGATGTCAGCTTGTAGTTTATGGTCCCTTTCTCACATGTAGGTTTGTTCGATTTGTTAACTTCCGAAGTTTAATAGCGTATATTTAGCCTTAGCATTTTGAAAGTGTAGAGTATTTGATTTAAAAATAATTATTCAAAAATGTGCTGTGATTGCTTACATTCTATATAACAAAGAAGTGTGTATTTACTCTTTATTATATTAAGAGCCTGTCCCACCAAATTGTAAATTGTTTGGTAACAGTCTTACATGTAAAATATGTGATGGAAATATCGGGTTTTATTCCCTTATCTGACAGTGACGTCATTTCTAACCTATCTTTTAATAATAATGTTAGTCCCTTTCCCTTTCCACCCTTAGAGGAAAGGATGGTAAGGAAAAGTGGATTTGACAATGGAGGAGAAGCATAGGAAGGGGAAATTTCCTCTTTATGTGCGTCTCCTCCTCTGTCAGTTAAGGGTAGGCAACGCATCTGCAATTGCAGATGTCTATGGACAGCGGTCACTTTCCATGTCGATGGACTCAGGTGGCCTCTTGCTCGTTTGCTACCTTACATTATAAAAAAACATCTGAGCCTCTATCAGTAGTGGGACAAGCCCTTAGTAAGAACTAATGATGTTACCTATGTTTTGATATATGTATTTAAATTTTTCAGAAATACAGGAAAGAAATAAATTAATACCAGGGAAGATGAAAAAAACCTTTAACCGTGAAGAAATGGCTTATACTAACACAGTGACTATAGTTCATAATTCTTATGTCTGTCCGTTCCACAACAAAGTTAGTAATTATTATTGTTATTATTGCAAGGACCAATTTACAAATCCCAATGAATTACGCGAACACACAATGACACACGAACCAAAAACAATGTTCGAAAGCATGATGGAACATAAAAAGATACCGAAAATCGATATTACAAGAATCGATTGTCGATTATGTCAAGAAAAAATCGATAATCTGGAAACGTTAAAAAAACACCTCACTATTATCCATGGTTTGAAGTTGCATCCAATCACAAATGAGTTTTTAAAATTCCGTTTGACGTTAAATAATTTAACTTGCACAGAATGTAAAAGCAGTTTTCCATATTTTGATTCGTTAAAGAAACACATGGCTGAACATTTTGGTAAATTTATTTGTGATATTTGCGGTGCTTGTTTTCTAGAACAGGCTTCTTTAAGAACACATATAAAGACTCATTATAAAATAGACATGTGCTTTCCTTGTGAGATTTGCGGTAAGAATCTTAAATCTAAATATAGCAGATATCTACATGTAGCGACAGTACATGAGAAAAAACCAACAGTTAATTGCTACAAATGTGACGCGGCTTTTCTTTCACATGCATTAAGAAATAAACATTTAATTGAAGTACACGGTGATAAGAGAACATTTCCCTGCAAATTATGTGACAAAGTATACAATAGAAGGAAAACATTAATGGAACATAATCGAAGAATACATTTAAAAGTGTATAGACATCAATGTGATTTGTGTGACCAGAGATTTTATTTACCATCGAGATTGAAAGAGCATATGGCAACACACACCGGAGAGAGGAATTTTCGTTGTGAATTCTGTGACAAAGGTTACCCAAGATTAAAATCGTTGCAGGAACATTTGCGTTCGCATACTAATGATAGACGGTACAAATGTGATATATGCAATTCAACTTTCACACAAAATGCCAGCCTTAAAAATCATTTGAAGAGTCACCATCAAGGATATGAAATGGAATCCAGTTTTAATTAATAAAAGATAAATTCTTTACGTGGTCGACAGTTCTGATTTCGCCATTTGACTATTCTGAACCATATCCTAGCACAAGCTTAGAGCTAAATATTTTTTTAATAATACATGTTGGCAAATGAGCAAGCGGCCACCTGAATCCGCCAAAATGGCGAAGCGGCCGCTGCCCATAAACATCGGCAATTGCAGATGCGTTGCCTACTCTTATCCGACAGAGGAGGAGACGCACATAAAGAGGATATTTCCCCTTCTTATGTATCTCCTCCATCAAATCCACTTCCCCTTCCCTTCCCCTCCTTATAAGAAAAGGGTGGCAAAGAGAAAAGGACTTGAATTAGGCCTCCAGGACCACACTCATCAGACGAAACTCGAAATTGTTTCCATTTCACGCCTGTCTCCTGTGTGGTTGTGGTATTACTGGGGGTGTGTCGGCCTATTTGTGCTAAGATGTTAAAGCGGGCACTACCACTGTAAACCAGAGCTATATATTAGTAAATTACAAAAATCTACTAATATATTATCACTTCTATAAGAAATAATCATTTTATCCTCAAAAGAAGTACAAATAAGCTCGCAAAGTAACAGACTGTAATGAAAAAGTTAGCATAAAAATTGTGTATATTTATTTAAAAAAACAGTGAATAAAGAAAAGTAAAAAAAATGCATTTAATTTATCCTATGTTAATGGCAAAACATATTAGACCCTGAAACTTAGAAAAAGATCTTTTGGAAAGTGTAAGATTTTACAAGAAATCTTGCCGCAATCCTAAAGCTGTAGCAAAATCTACAATAATTCATCGTTTTTTTTTAGTAAATTAATTTTGAAATAGCCTTTGAATGAAAAATAAAAAATGTTGATTAACAACAAGTCATCGGGAATAATGAAATTCAAATAAATTATATACGATTTTATAAAATATAGAGGGTCAATTTTAACACAGTTAAAAACATTAGAATAGGTGCTTACTGCTTATGGCTACGGCCCATCGATTACTTTTTCTATACAAACACGATGTACACGGCCAAGTAAAAATTTTCATTGGCAACACTGCTTGCTACGTATCTGTAATTTGTGGGTGTCAATGATAAATGTCAATATAATTATAATCAAAACACGAATTCATATCAAAAGTTTTATATTTATATAAGAATTATTTAAAATATGAGTGCGAATAACAGAAAAGGACCAATTATAGATCCCGGCGTATGTCGATGTTGTGGCTCTTTAAAGAAATGTCGAATAATTAACGTTGAATATGAATGGCAGGGGCAAAAAGAAATCTATTCCGATATGTTTGTGGATTGTTTCGGTCTTTTGGTAAAGGAAATCTTCTATTTTTAATCAAATATATAATCTAAATTACATTAAAAGATATGTTAAGTTTGAATACGTAATGTTTTCACACATTTATAACGAAATATTAAATCAAAAAAACACTTCAACCCTGGCAGACGTTTAATCTTAAAATTTTAACATAAGTTAATTTTTTGTTAGATCCTTTGTCGGTTTTAAATAAACTTGAGACTTGTGCTTGTCCTGTCAAACCAATATTCTGCACAATACCTATACCACAAGTAGATAGAGATAAGATTTACACTAATAATAGCAACCAAAGTTACATTTTTTTTAATGCACCACCAGCCATGGCCCCACCGACCCTCAGGTCACACGGGCCGAATAGCGGGCGGGCGCACACGGTTTGACCGCATGCACCTTCTTGATTCCCTACAAATTATATTGTCTATTTATTTGGGTGTGACGACACAATGGGCACGAATATGTTCGCCGTGGACAACCACACCAGCGCCCTTCTCTGGTCTATATCTTTGCTTATGCCAATGATGTGCAAACTCCCATAGCCTAGCAAAATTCATACTGTTGCTAACGAGATCCAGGTTATAATAACCAAGGTTAGAGTAGTAAGAAATCTCAATGTTTTTTAGTTATCACACTTAGAAGGAGCATCTATGGAACGTTTGATATGTGCAACTTGTGTTAGCCGCCTGCGAGAAGCTTGTGCATTCCGGCAACAAGTTCTGCGCTGTGAAGAGCTTCTACTCACTGCTAAGATACATTTAGATAATGGTAAATAGTATTTATGTAATCCTCTTTTCCATAGACAAGAGATTAATATTGAATGTTGGCAATATAGGTAGAGGAAGACCGAAGAAAGTATGGATGTGGAAGATATGGGAGTGAATTCAGATATGACAGTTAGAGATGTATGAAAAGTACATACTGTGTCTACCCTCAGTAGGGACAAGGGCAAGTTGATTTTCCCTCCCTATTGTCATAATCAATGCAAAAGTTAGTATGGATGGATGTTTCTTACCTTGCAAAAGTTTTAATACATGTCAAAGAAATTTGTAATAGATGAAGCCAAAGCTCAGTGATTTAAGCACTTGATTTGTAATCTACAGGTCTTGGGTTCGAATCCCGCTATACCAATGTGGTTTTATATTTTTCATCTGTACATAATACCTGACATTTTTACGGTGAAACACAACATCATGATGCACATATTGGCAAAGAAATTCAAAGATATGTGAGAAGTCAACCTGCAGTGCAGTGTGGTTGACTATGGCCTAGTCACCCTTAGGGTAGGATCCCAGCCCCTCACTAGGGATATATAGTGAGCTGGTGATGATGGTGATTTATCAGTGGTAGTGCCCGCTTTAACATCTTAGCACTAATAGGCCAGCACGCCCGGTATAATACCACGACCACACAGAAGACAGGCGTGAAATGTAAGCAATTCCGTGTTTCGTCTGATGAGTGTGGTGCTGGATGCCTAATTTAAGTCCCTTTCTCTCTACCACCCTTTTCTTATAAGGAGAGGATGGGAAGGGGAAGTGGATTTGACGGAGGAGGAGATACATAGGAAGGGGAGATATTCTCTTCATGTGCGTCTCCTCTGTTGGATAAGGGTAGGCAACGCATCTGGAATTTCGGATGTCTATGGGCAGGTGGCCGCTTTGCTCGTTTGCCACCTTATGTTATAAAAAAAAAGGTGTGATGTAGAACATAGTATTTTAGGTTACATAGACTATTTATGAAGTTTAGGTGATTTTAAATATTTTTTTTAGATGGAGAGACCAAAGAAGGTTTGAAACTCGATGTGAAGAAAGAGAAGTTGGATGAAGGTGAAGATTTAAACAATTATCACAACAGTGAGGAAATTAGTGAGTTTAAAAAAAAATGTTTTGCTATCTATTGATTCAGTCAAGTAGATTATCACTTCTATAATCATATTTTTTACCTAATTCAATTAAACATTACTAGCTGTTGCCCGCGACTTCGTTCGCGTGGTATTAGAAAACATACGAACTAAATAAATAACGAAAACGCTACGTATCCCTCGGGAACCGGACATAGAACCTTATCCCATGTACTCCAGACTTTGTTTTGTATCTGTGCCAAATTTCAATAAGATATGTTGAACCGTTGCAGAATGATCGAGTAAACATTAAAAAACTAAGTAATGAATCCCACGGGAACCGTAACTATTCCCGGAATAAAAAGTAGCCTATGTGTTCTTCTAGACTATGCTCTAAAGCTGTGCCAAATTTCGTGGTGATCCGTTTAGCCGTGTTGGCTACAAACGCTAACAAACATCCATTCATCCATCTATCCATCCATCCATCTAAACTTTCGTATTTATAATATTAGTAAGAAGTAAGATTTGTAGTTTGTTATGGACATGTTATGTGACGAAATGATGGGGACATAAACCAGAAAGTGTTAAGAATGAATGTGGATGGCTACAAAGGAAGAGAAAGACCGAAGAAAGTATGGATTGTGTGAAAGAGGATATGCTTAAGAAATGAGTGGATACAGATATGAATGTATGGAAGAGCACATACTGTGCCGACCCTCCGTAAGGGATAAGGGCAAGTTTATGAACCCGAAAGGTTATGTTATGTTTTTTAATTTATTTTTAATATTCCAGACTCTGATTACGATCCAGAAGTAATACCGAGAATAACAAGGAGTTCAGTTAAAAAGAATAAAATGTTGAAGCGCAGAAGGAAAAAAGTCGACGAGACAAGCCTTCTGTTGAAGAGAATGCAAAATATTACCACAAAGATGAAGAAATTAGAAAATGCAGGTGAGATACAAGGCTTTATTTATAATCTTACTAATGTAAGGATGGGAAGGAAAAGTGGATTTGACAGTGGAGGAGACTCACAGGAAGGGAAAATGTCTTTATGTGTGTCTCCTCTGTCAATGAAGGGTAGGCAACGCTGCAATTGTGGATGTTTATGTGCAGTGGTCGCTTTCCATTTCGGTGGATTCAGGCCGCTTGCGAGTTTGCCATCTTATATAAAAAAATATATATAAATGCGAAAGATTAGATGGATGTTTGTTAGTTTCTGTCAATAATGTTGAATAAATCTCGATGGTCATAGATGTAGAGGATAGTGTGGAACACATAGACTGCATTATTTTTTTAATGCTACATGAAGCTAGTAATAAATAAATGAAAAACTCAAAAATATATAAAGTCTTGTCACACATGCCATATTCTTGAAATTAGAACTTTTTGTAATTTTTATGTTTGTTTTTTTAATTAAAATCAGTAACATTTAAGAATTACATTTAAAATATTTGTTGTGTCCTCTATCATATATCATATAAATATTATAAATGCGAAAGTTATGATGGATGGATGTTTGTTAGATTTTGTAGCCTAAACGGCTGAACGGATCTCTATGAAATTTGGCACAGGTTTAGAGCATAGTCTGGAAGAACACATAGGCTACTTTTTATCCCGGGAATAGTAACGGTTCCCGTGGGATTGATTAATTTAGTTTTTTAATGTTTACTCGATCATTCTGTAACGGTTCAACATATCTTATTGAAATTTGTCACAGATATAAAACAAAGTCTGGAGTACACATTGGATAAGGTTCATCCCCGAGAAATTTTCAGTTCCCGAGGGATACGTAGCTTTCTGTTATTTACATAGTTCGTATGTTTTCTATAACCACGCGGATGAAGTCGCGGGCAACAGCTAGTAATTTATATTTAAATGTCTTTTATAATTTCCAGATATACCAGAACAAAAAGGAAACTCAAAAGCAAAGAATATCAATAATAATGAGACAATGGCACATCACAACGCAATATCTATTGTAGAGAACTCTTACGTTTGTCCATTTGATACTTCTTTCAGTGATTATTATTGTATTTACTGCAGAAAACAGTTCACAGACCCCAATAAACTTAGAGAACACACAATAACCCACGATCCACAGAAATATAAGGAAATCACACATAAAAAACAACTACAAATCGATATACTAAGAATCGATTGTAGACTTTGTACACAAAATATCGATAATATCGATGAATTAAAACGTCACATCACTACTATCCATCAGATAGTCCTATATCCAGTGGATAATGAATTTTTAAAATTCCGCCTCACTAATGGCAGATTAACTTGTACGGAATGTGACAATTCCTTTACATTTTTCCACGCTTTAAAAAAACACATGGCCCTACATTTCGGTACTTGTATTTGTGACATTTGCGGTGCACATTATTTCCAAGAGAGAATGCTTTTACTCCATCAAAAAACACATAAAAACATCAACGAGAATCATCCATGTAATGAGTGCGGTAAAATGTTTAAATCCAAACGGAATAGATATCTACATATAGCTAAAATACATACAAAAGAACCTGTATATCCTTGTAATAAATGTGATGAGGTTTTCTTCTCATATATATTGAGATATCGACATATGATAGATGAACATGGGGAAGAAAGATGTTACCAATGCGAGGAATGTGACCGCTCATATGACAGTAGGAAATCATTAAGAGAACACAATAGAAGATTCCATTTAAAAATATACAAACACCAATGTGATTTATGTGATAAAAGGTTTTATTTACCTTCGAGGTTGAAAGAACATATGTCAACACATAGCGGGGAGAGAAACTTCCGCTGTGAATATTGTGGGAAAAGTTACCCACGGCTCAGAGGGCTTAAGGTTCACATGCAGTCACATAACACGGAGAAGAAATATAAATGTACATTATGTAGTGCTTCTTTTACACAGAATGTTAATTTAAAAAATCATATAAAAAGACAACATCAGAATGTAGACGGATATGAATAATTTATATCTATACTATTATAATAAAGCGTAAACACACACTTTGTTGCCTAAGATGTCAGCAATCACAGCATATTTTTTAATAAAAAGCCCTACACTTATGCTACGCTATAGGCTATATATTTTCACGCTATTAAACGTAGGGGGTAATTATTTTGCATAAAAACCCTAATGTGGGAAAGAGACCATAAGTTGCTGCCAACATCAAGGAAGCAAGATTGCTAAGTTTGTCATGTTATGTCATTTTGACATTTGCAATTGATAATTTGACAAATGTAAACAATAAAATAAAATTTTCATAACTATATGCGGATGAAATCGCACGGGAACAGTTAGTACATATAATAAAATTGGAGTGTCTGTTTGTAACATCAAAAGAAAAATTCCAGATTTCGGGAAGATGTATTTGCGTTGCTGATAACGAGAATCGCATTTTAAATTTTTTTGTCTGTCTGTAAGTCGCGTTCTGAAACAGGACTTTCACTGAAGGATAGCTGACATATGGGCATAGTATAGACTACTGTTTTAATGTTGCGTGAACGAGGTCACGGGCAACAGCTAGTTTATTACAAAATTCTTGTGTTTCACGCATTTGAAAGATCGTAATTATCGATGTTTGTCTAATATTGTGTAAATAGTATTTGAAGTTAATTCATTATTATATTGAGTATTAAAATGTTATATCTTTGTTGTTCTTTAAGAAATTTAATAAAAAAAAAAACTACCTCAATTGACATTTACTGTAAATTTCAAAATATTAACGGTAATAAGTTACTGTTTTTAGACCGCTTGTACACCCTTCTCCACAAGTAGAGTTTTGTTGCCAGTTTCTCCCAAATTAGAATAAAACCACAAACACTTGACACTGGCCACTTCGCTGAGGGCGGGCCATAAACAAGAAATAGAATAGAAGTAACTTTTTCACATTTTAATTTGACTATATTTTTAATTAAAAGTGCACAATTAATTATTTTACGTTTTTTTAAAGTGTTGAATTCGTAAAAACTACATTCCTTGGTTAAATGCATCTATTTAAATATAGTTGTAAGTAATGTGAAATAAATGAAATGTTCTAAATGTGTTTTTATTTGTAGAAAAAATATTAGTAAACCATCCACTTGCCCTTATCCCTTATGGAGGGTCGGCACAGTATGTGCTGGCCTTCCATACATCTCTATCAGCTGTCATATCTGAAACCACTCCTTTCTTAAGCATATCCTCTTTCACACAATCCATACTTTCTTCGGCCTTCCTCTTCCTTTAGTAAATATTAGTAAACCATTAATCTCTTTGGATTTAAAATTTTATTTTAAGTTCTATGTAAACGAAGACATAAGTTGCTTTTTTTCTATCCACTACAAAAGCTTGAGATAAAAGTTACGATCTGGCTTCAGTGAACCATTTTTTACACTAAGGATGTTACAAAAACTGAATTCGATTATGATTTATCTGAAATCCAAATCGATTCTTAATTGATGTTAACAACACTGAAATTAAAATCCGTAAAACATATTTAGAATAGTGACATCTATTGTATATTCTTGGAATTAAAACAAATTTGTCAAATGTCATAGTGACATAGTTGAGTATGAATCGGTTATAGATGGCGTTAGTAGTTTATTTTACGCGTATTTGTAGCTCGATTTTAGCAGAAAATATTAACAAAGAATAAAAAAAATATGGGCGGGAGCGTATAAATTGGTTTCTTTATATTAATACTTTTGTGTTTTTAAACTCTCAACTCGGCATTTAGACCGACAAAGTTAAACTGGATAGGGGAAGTCTGAAAGTTCCGCTAGTGCGCAAATTAACAAGAAAAATAGTAGAATTTACATATTTTATCAGTAGGTAAAATTGTATATGACAAGAGGTACTGTGTATGTAATATGCGACCCGCATATTCCCCATAAAATAAAGGGGAAAATTTACAAAACCGTTGTAAGACCTGTCATGATGTATGGATCTAAATGTTGAGCAGTAAAAGGGACGGATGAAAGGAGAATACATGTGGCGGAAATGTGAATGTTAAGATGGACGTGTGGGGTAACACTGTTGGATAAGATACGAAATGAGTATATTAGAGGAAGTTTGAGAGTAGTCCCAGTGGTTGAGAAAATAAGGAGTAATGGTTAGAGTGGTATGGGCATGTTATGAGAAGGGATGAATCGCATGTAACAAGAAGGACGTTAGTTATGAATGTGGAGGTACACAGGTAGAGGTATACCTAGAAAGAGATGAATGGATTGCGTGAAAGGTGACATGATCAAGAAGGGAGTGATAACTGAGATGACGGATAATGGAGTTATTTGGAGGACGAAAACTCGGTGCACCAACCCTACGGGAGTAGGATAAGGCAGGGGAGATGATGACGGAGAACTGTGTATGAATGTGGAGGGAGAGGGTAGACATTGAAGAAAAAACTGACGCACCTTCAGTTCTTCAGGTATTGGGATGTTCATCTCGGATTTTCTGCGGTACGTTCCTGTTCCCATAAAAAAGGATTGACTTTATTTCGTTACCTACGTATCTTATTTTTTAAATTATCACTTGTATGGTTTCCGTATACATTTTGGGACAAAAATTCAGATTTAAACGCAACGTTTTCCCTTTAAATAAATCCGATATCTACATATACTAATATTATAAAGAGGAAGGATTTGTATTTTTGTATGTATTGAAATACCTCAAAAACTACTAGGTCGATTTCAAAAATTCTTTCACCATTAAAAAACTACGTTATCACTGAGTAACCTAGGATATGTTTTTCATTGTTTTTTTAATCCCACGCAGGCGATGTCGCGGGCAACAGATAGTGATAAATCATTCTAAAGAATAAATAAATTGAGTAAAGCGAAAAGAATTGTTTGTTTTTTATTTAGTAAATCTAATGTAATATAAGTCAAAATTCTTTGGAAACAAAGAAGTGGTTAGTCTAGTATTAAAAAACGGTAACCCGCTGATAGCTTGATAGAATCGTATTTTATCTATTTTAGATAATTTCAACAGAGGCGTAATTTGAACGATTTATGATCGAAATAGGAAATCCGACGGCCCGTCCGAAATTATCTATGCACAGATTAAAAGATATTCAGGCTTGAATAATTAAAAAAAAACTGTCAGCTGTCAATAAAGAGCCAGTGTTACCAGCAATAATATCTTTGACAAATTGATTGAATTTTACTTCAACATTATTTAAATTGAAACGCTATCTAACCAGTTCTACCCACTTGTGTTAGGCATTGAATAAAGTCGAAATAAAAATGATACAGGGCCCATCCACGAAGATACATATATATCTATACTAATATTATAAAGAGGAAAGATATTTTTGTATGTATTGAAATAACTCAAAAACTACTGGGACGATTTCAAAAATTCTTTCACCATTAGAAAGGTAATTTATCTGTAAGTAGCATAGGTTATAATTTTTGTTACATTTCTAATTTCATGCGGGACGAAGTCGCGAGCAACGCTAGTCTATCCTAATATTATAAAGTGAAAAGATTTATATTTTTGTATATTATAATAACTCAAAAACTACTGGGCCGTTTTAAAATTTATCTGTAATTAATATAGCCTGTATGTTTTATTATTTTTAATACCACACGGACATAGTTGAGGGCAACATCTAGTTAAATAATAAAGTAATACATTTTATTTGAAGAATAACCAAGTCTGAAGACTAGGGATGGGTCGTTGACAGTTTTGGCATTAACGAAACGAAACCGATTTTTTCAAGTAATCTATATACTAGTTGGATTTAGAAACTAATTAATCTAAAAAAAATATAAATGCGAAAGTTTTTATAGATCAAAGGATCTCGCTTAAATTTGGCACAGATATAGATGATACTGGAAGAACACAAAGGCTACTGAATTTTTTAAGTCATCTATACTATTATAATAAAGCGTAAACACACACTTTTTTGTTGCCTAAGATGTCTGCAATCACAGTATATTTTTGAATAACTCTTTGTTTAATAAAAATCCCTACACTAACGACACGCTTTAGACTACATATTTTCACACCATTAAACTTAGGGGGTAAATATTTTGGATAAAAACCCTAATGTGGGAAAGAAACCATAAGTTGCTGCCAACATCAAGAAAGCAAGATTGCCAAGATTTGTCATGTCATTTTGACATTTGCAATTGAGAATTTGACAAATGTAAACAAATAAAACATTTTTTTTTTCAAATTCACACAAATTAAGCCGCATGGGAACATTTAGTATATAATACAATAAAGAAACACCCGTAGACTAGTGTTCAAAGGGAAACATGAGTTGAAATTTTCGTTGTTCAACCAGTTGAACGAAAATCGGTTACCGATCAAACAGTTGAAGGGTGATCAACGATTGATTCAACAATACTGTAGGTTGTATCTACGCCCATCCCTAGAAGGCTTTATTTACATATGTATTAACCTAATTTAAGATAAATTATATTGATAGCTTGACCGAAGGTAGCACAAAAAGATAACAAGAGTTAAATAGATTAAATTAAATCTTTATAAAATAAAAATTACGTGTTTTTAAGTTTTGCTTCTTTTTAAAAACATCAGTGGCACAGATAAGCGCTTGATCGGAGTCACTGCTTAAGTTCGGTTCCCGAATTTAATGAGTACAGTGAGGGAATCTGTTGGTGTTCTTTAAAACAAACAGTCGTTGATGAGTAGCAAAAAAACATAATCGAAGAATAATCGACCTTTCCAGAATGTTCGATCGCCGCGAACGCCGAAAATGACCCGATGTCTCGAATATTCGAAACGGCTTCGAGAATGTTCCATTATGAAATTTTTGTAATTCGGACTATCGAGAAAGTTCTGGAATAAAATGACAAGTGAATAACGAAAAGAAGATCGAAGTTCGTGGTATATAAGGAGAGTCAGTCGTAACTCGGGGAGTGATACGTAGAAAGTGAACTGTAAAGAAGACTCAGATTTCAGATAGCAACAACCGATCAAGTCGAGGTTCGGCCTTCTCGGGCGCCCTTGAAGCTAAATGCGTATTGAGTGACAGCCCAAGCCGAGGTCCCCTCTC